CGGCTTATGACGAACCGCATCCCTAGTCTTACGAAACGGTTACTGATATTTTGTCTTTCAAATGAAATCTGGAACCCGAATGAAGAAGAACTTGAAGTCCCATCAACTGAAAACGAAATCGACGAAAAAATTTCAGTGAACAATGTTCAGTCCTATTGATAAGGGAAAACTAGGAAATTATGGTCACTACTATTGTCTCGTTTTTGGGTTGCCTATCAACAGGCAAAAACAATTGGCATATTTCATATCTCACAGACTAATCAAGTGCAGATGAAGCGGGAAACTGTCGACATGCCAATCTCCTATATTTTCTTTCATGAATGACTGCTCTTGACATGGAATTATACATTCTGTTTCGTCACCTAATACAGAAGTATTTTATTCAAATAATATTTTGTTCCTGTTAATTGTCATCCAACTGCAAAATGGTTTTCGCGTTTTATGGCAAGCAATTATACCCTTGTTTCCAACTTCAAGCTAATCAAAGAATGAAATGAGCAGATAATTGGCAAGAAAATCGAGATGCTAGTTGTTGATGCTCGTGGAATAGTTTATGGTAATTTATAAGCTTAGAGTTTCTATCCTGAATAAGAACTCAAAAATATTACCCAAAACAAGATCAACTTAGCCCCCCAGATTTATTTTATTCAGGCATGTATTGATCAAATACATATTACTACAGCACGTCTGATTCGCTTCTTGCAATTGAGATGCCATATGGTTTGATTTAATCTGGCCTCTTTAATATCTTAAGTCGTTCTTTGAAATGTTTTCAATAGCTGCTCTCAGCCCAGACACAACCAGCATAAGCTAAATAATTTTACCTAATAAGTTTCTGCATGGATGAATATATTGCCTAATGGATTAGATTGGTTTCCAATAAAGACCGGCCTTTCTGAAAAGTTGGTATTTTTAACTTGCCTTATACGATTAGTAGATGTCTAAATGAATTGCTCTTATTACGAAGATTAGGTTCATTCAAGACTTCAAGCCTTATTCTATGGGAACTAATCAGCATCGAACCTAAAATAATATCATAAAATGAAAGAATTTGTTCATAGCAAAGTTCGTTTTATCTATCAGACTACTGTTTTAACAGGTGTGTCTATGGGACATTTTCAATAATGGTATTTCTTTACCTCCTCGGGCGATCTTCGGAATGCACAATTCCTAATTGAAATCCTGTCTTTGGCTTTAAAAAGAGCATCCAAAACTGGTGTTTACTCCGCAGTGTCTATCTGTGGCAGGTCAATGCAATTTCGAATTCACATCAATAGAGAAATCGATCAACTGGTCAAACGTTCCTGTGATTTTACTAACGGGTGAACACAGATCGTACTGTTCAAAATTTTCGGCAAAACCGAGTAAAATTGAAGTTTATTATTACTGAGTCACATAAACATGCGTATGTCAACAAAGGACAATCAGCTCTTCTGAGTCCGGTTAGATATTTCTTCTTCGTGAAGAATATAATATCCCTCAACTAACAGTTTGCAATTATTGTGGAAAAACCATTGTGCACATGTAAGCTGCGAAACCTTAATAGCAAAATCCACTAATCAAAATGCCACTAAATCATGTATCTATAGGTAATTCAAATCTGTCACCCACTCGTTAATTTCAATAGTTTCTCCAAAAATCGATGATTATTTTTCCAAAACAAGACCTCGAGCTGTAGTGCAAACATTAGTTCTTTATCAGAGGAAAGACATATTGTAAAAAACTGTTACCGGTAACGGAAAAAAAATCAATAGTTTCATTTATTTATCTCGGGTTTTCCATTTTTCGTGCCCCTTACGTTCCGAGGAGTCGCAACGCTTTTGTACAATGCATGTTCTTCCATTTCAGTGTATTTGTTTCATTCTAACATCATACTGTGCAATGAAACTTTTCAAAATGTTTAAACTGGCAAACGTGCAATCGACAGAACCATTTGTTGGTAAATATTGAGTCTTACAGGTAGTTTACTGAAACTTGCATCCAGGAACCTGAGTAGATTGGAATATTGCGGTGATACACTAATCAGATGCCTGTCTTTGCATGCCAAAATGTTTGAAGAATGATGGGTCTAATGCAAGCAAACACCTACACAAATGACATAATTGTGAACAATTCGTTGGCAACCGTTACTTCACCGTTATGGGAGTCTAATCAAGGAGAGTGATTGTGAAGGTTACGGAAATTTTAGTCGTTATTCCTGGAATAATCCTCCACAGATCATGACTGGGGTTTTACTTTAAAATCAATATCTGAGTTCACAGCTGTATACAATGATCTGCGTACAATAAATACATCCAGCTCTATTTAAGGCCATCAGCCCAAAATCTTTTAAAACTTTCCTAACCTCATGTGATTAGCACAAAATCCGCGGCATAATTTCCAAAGCCAAGAGATCAACCAACATCACTGAGGTGGCCTAACCGTTATTTCTTAAACTATGAGTTAAACTACTGAGGAATTCAAAACTACGTCGAAAGAAAACAGGAATTAAAATGGATGCCGTCGTCTTCCACTTGGTGGGACGTTCTGGGCAAATGTCTCTCACAAAAACCCCACTGAAGATATTTGAGATGCGACTGAAACACAACTCAACTTATACAAATTTAATTAACGCCAAGTTGATCGCGTACCTTACAGGCATTCTCCGTGTCAGCTACCTTGTGTCTAATCACCAGTAGCGTGTGCAGACTAGTATGTTCTGTGCTGGGAACTGCAACCACAGAGCTGTCTGTTGAAAAATGAAAATTCCCACTGGGTGAAAGATTTTGCACCCGAAGTTTGTCATACACATAGGGCGTGATCAGACTTACACGAAAATCGTTGATATCAAATAGATGAAGACACTTGATTTTTTCTGAGAACCGCTCCATTAGCACCTACTAATCCACTAGTTAATTGTCTTATGTAAGGAAAATACATAATAGGTGATTCGACAGGAAGTTCGAAACTTTCTTGGAAGCAGGATGCACATAAAATTGTGATTTGACCCATTTTTTAGGACATTTCAAGTTGTCTACTGACTCCAAGTTGATTAGCTGATATAATTGCTTAGTAAAGCTTAGTGTTAATTCTTAATGGCTTATCTATTACAATCCTTTTTGTACCGGTGTTTTTGATTTCGTGAACGATTCTTTTGAAGTTAGGATTGCATTTCTGATTTATTGACACAGAATGATTTGTGTTCTTGTGTTGAAGATTTATAAATGTTAGAAAGTCTATTTTGCTACATTTTCTCTTATGATTGCAAACGTATCAATGACCTGCTCATGTGTCACAAATTTTTCTTTTCTTTCTTTCTTCCTTTCGTTTCTTTAAAACCTGCGTTGTCGCGGATGTCTGGACATGTTGTGGGTACGCCTTACAAGTAGTCCAATAGGATTTGGTTTGTTAAGGTAACATTGTTCTCATCATGCCTTTAAGGTGCGGCTTATTTCTTCTGAAGGAGTTAGCGGATTATAACGTATCGCCTGATGAGTTTAAATACTCCCTGCTACAGATTTGGATTAGGTGATTTGAGAATAGAAAAGAAAGCGTGATGGCGTTGGGAAGTAATGCATGTCTGTGCTTAGTATGCCTCGTATATCTTCAGTAACAGAAAGAAAAGCATGGTTATCAAACACGTCAGTGGGTTAGCTCTATTTGAAACGTAATTAAAAGTAAATTTAATCAAGTGAATTGTTATTATTCAAAGAATACATCTAGGAAATTTTCATCAAATAAGTAATTGTTCCCACCCGTGCACTATTCGCTAGCACCATGTTATTTCGAGTGGAAACAAATGAATTGCTTGCTCAGGGACTCTTTATCGCTTCATTTCTGTCAGTTTATTATTGATCACACACCTCTCCTCCCTCCTCACACTGAAGATCACACCACATTGGAAAAATGATATCAGCTGTGATTGGTCAAAACCTTGGGCCAATCGCTTTTTGGCCTATTGCTTCTAATTGAAACCCCAGTTGTAACGTATCAATATAAACATCTTCGAATCACACCGCGGTGGTTGATAAATTGCCAAATCAGTAAGTTCTAGTAGAACCATAATTGAAAAAGCTCCATTTTGGTTTCCTTTCGTTGAACGATTAGAAATAATCTAATCACTAGCATTTTGCAAAATATTGTTTTTGACATTCACGTTTTATCGATTTCCTAAACAGAGAACCAAATGAATGCACGATTGTGGATTTCTGAGAAATAATAATTATCAAACTCGTGGTTTAATAGATTAAACAACAAAAATAACGATTATTATTGATGGAAATTTGAAATATTGGCTCTCAGTCATCAACAAAACAAGTACAAAGGAGAATAGGCCAAACTAGAAGAGTTCGTGGAGTTTTATTCATCAATCAAAGCACTTTTTCGGAAACAAATATGTCCACTATCAACACTGACTGACGTTAGACTATGAACTGTATGCTAACGCAAAAATAAATCTCCACTGTTAGTCCCCTTTATAATTATACGCTTTGAAAAACATGTTAGATCTGCCAAATGCAAAGCTTGTTTTTCAGACAAGCTGCGCATCCTGTTAATTAATCGCTCAAATGCAGCTGTGCTTTAACCAAAATGATTTGGGTAAGGTTTTCCAACAAGGATGGCGTGCGTCATTTGTTTCAGTAATAAATTTGAAACAATTATTTTAACCACATAATATCAATGTAAAGTAACAGCCAGGGATTTGCGCATTAAATTTGTACAAGGAATACGTACCAGGGGAGTATAATCATGATATAAACTACTCGTTCCAAAAACAAAATTGCATCCCGAATTTTGAAAGATTGACTAATAACAGCTTTGATTAAATTTGTCTTTTGAAATACAGTGCATTGTCAGCATAGTCACCCGGTATGTGAACAGAATGTGATATTTGTGGTAACAGACTGCAAGAGGTGTACGCGATTTTGTAGTTATTCGGTAATCGTTCGGTTTTTCATGCAGTATTTTCAGCACTTTTCGTTTCTCTATCCATTCAGACGCTATATTTCCTATGACGGAAGATGGTGACCGAATCGCCGCCGATTCATATTCGAAATGACACACAACCAACAGAATTGCAACGCATTCTGCAAGCCACCACTACGACCAGCACGACGACCACCACACCACCCCAAGCCACACTACTCATGTGCCTCACGCTCTATTGTCTGATACTGAATACCGCTATTGTGCTGTTAACATTTTTCTGGCACCGAATTCCACGTCGACAAGGACGGGTTTGCTCAAATAAAAACTATAGTAAGTCCCTGATATACTGCGGTCATTTTCCTGTTTTGATCAATCAACGGGGATGTTTCTGGTCTGAAATGAGCCAAACCACATGCTAAAGCTCATTTGTCACTTAATAAAACATTGTGTTCATTTGGATACACAAGTTGGTTTTCTAATGCACGGATATGTCAAATAATTTATGAAATCGTGAAGGCAGAATCACTGAGTTGTACATTATCGGTAGGGGAGCAACCTTAACCAGCATTCGAAACGAAGATTAATCTTTACACTTTTGTTTCGCATCAAAAATTGCTATTGACAAACAAAATCATTGTCGGCACGGAAATTACTTAGTTCCAATGGAAAGTACTAGCACGTGGACAAGATTAGTTGCACAATTTCGAATACGTAAACCGGAAAGATCTGGAATGAAAGTAAACCTGATTGTCCATAACTTATTAAACAGTTTTACAGTCATCGATTGAAAAGAAAATCTTTGACATCTATGCTCTGAGAAAAAGTCGTTTGCGGTACATCCAAAGGTGTCCTCAGACTGCAAGTAAATCATCAATCACTTTGATCATGTTGTATGAGTTATAGAGGTAATTACTTTCATAACCCACGCTCGAAATTGTAACTGTGCTCATTTAAAACATGTATTGTCGTTCACTCAATGCCCCACAGTTTATATTTCAAACCTATCATCATCTCCCGAATATTTCAAATGATGTTTAGCGGTCGTCAGTTAGTTACAGCTAATTCAATGATTGTTTGTATGATTATAAAATGCAATAAAAGGAAAATGTTTCTCAATTGATTTCGAGTTGATTTGTGCAATATTTTTTTCATCATGGGTCACTGGGAATTCCAAATAAGTATTGAGATCCATCAATGATCCACTAAAACAAAATCAACTAGAATACAGTACAAAATACCATGGTAAACGATTATCTTTGTTAACCTGCGAAAGTATATATGATAGTCGCCATGAATTGTTGCAAGTGAGAATAAAATATTAACAATATTTGTCGGCAAGCAACCCACCCGTTGAACCACCCTTTAATTATGTTTGACTGTGAGCACAAACTCCACCTAAAACAGATGAATCAATGGAATTTACACATGACAAATGAATGACCCCGATCGGTCACATAAAACCAATTTATAATGGAGTCTTATTTTTACAAAAGTTCAAGTCAAAATAATACATTGCACTAGGAAAACAACGAGCAATCAAATAACAACCGGATGTTCCATGAAGACAGAGACCATGAGTATAAATAAATTCAGATTATTCCAAGGAATTACAAGCAAATAGAATGCTGTGCTAATCAAGCGCATGGAAGCCACCAATCTATCCTTTTCTCACAATCCAACACAGTTATCATGCATCGGTAACCAGTTTTAGGGAGCATCAAACGGAATCTGGAATGTCAATCACATGTACATTGCACACATATGAGGAGACCAATTTATTCTCTTCACGTAAGCCATCGTGTCTTGGTTGACCTTCTGGTTTTTAGTCATTGCTGAAGGAACGACATTTCGCATAATCAGAAACTGATAAAACTTATCTAATTCATGATATCGGGTAACTCTATTTAACAAGGAATCTCGCATTTATGGCGTGAATCCAATCAATTATATTACGGCCGATTATGGATTATATATGTTTGTCTACAACTTTAATGAGTGTAGTGACAACTGTCTATGTATTCTCAGATCACTAAAAATAAACGAATCTGAATGCTTGCTACAATAGGCACAGACGTAACCCTAATCGTGATTCGTTGTCGTGTTTAGTTGCGTATATCAGTGCCGCACCTACATAACACATACATACATAACTTTGGTATAAAGAAATAATCTTAGAATCGGTGACAAATTGAGAGCTGATAAACAATGAACATGATGAATCATACTAAATTTGCTCACTTTCGACGAAAAACGTCCTGGTAAAGGTATCATTACCTGTTAGTGCAGCCAAGATATTGAGCAACAATATTTAAGTTTATCGATGCAAAACATGCTTGACACTTACACTGCATCACGTTATGGATTATGCAATTTATATTGAGTATTACAATTAATGCAAGTTGTAATTGGTTTCGTTATTTTCGCGCCTGACTATCTTCAGAAAATTGGCACAAAACTATTTATTTCAAAGATATGAATTGATGGACGGTCTCCACTGGTTTAAACTAATGCTAAGAGATAAACCATGAACGTAAAGGATCAAATGTATACTACCACATTACGTAACATAAATTTGACGTAAAGAGCTAAATTGAACTGAGGCAAGCTTGCAGAGTGGCTAAATGATACTCCCTTAAGTTGCTATGCTCTGATTAGATTATTATTTGAATAATATTTATTCGAATCCACATTTTTCCAAAATAAATGACACACATTGGAAAGGATAGCGGCCGATGAGAACCAGTTCAGCAGAGTCCAAGACAAACGACACCGCAAAATATTCAAGTAAGATTTGAACAAAATATTGGAGATCTTCAGAGACTAATTAGCACGGATGAGGAAGTAGGTAGGTCGAATTCGGTATGCAAACTTAAAGTGTCGAAGTGCTTTGTTAAGGGGGTGAAAATGAAATAAAACGCTCCATTGAGCAAGATAAACTAATCCTAGTGACACGGTTCAGTGACTAAACTGAGCGGGAAAATACTCTAAACAAAAACAATAAAAGTACCAACAGTCTGGGAACTAATAAATGTAAACTGTTGAAGTAAAGTAAAATGTGGCTGGCTGTCCACAGGAATCTTTTGAAAGTATTGTGAACTGGTAGCGATCATGAAGACACGTTCAACAGATTAAAACTATTCGTGGTAAAGAAATGCAATTATGCATTGTCAGCCTGGTGCAATGGACTGTATCGTGTAATCTGTGGCCAACATTGGAGCGTTGATATATCAGTTGATTAGGTAGCCTGAGTGGTATAATGTCTCGCTTATCCAATTGAAAACAGCCGTTTGGTGATTTCATCATGGCACCCATAATTACTTCATCATGAGCAGCACAAAACGAGATTCTTTTGTTTGGTTGACAGGAGATATTTTTTTCAACTAGAGTGACCAAACGAGTTGATTACGTTTAATTATGGGTTCGGAATGATCGTTATTGAGCAGAGATGAATGAAAATAATAATTTCGAGATTTCAATTACGCCCCATGTTGATTATTTGATTACTAAATTCATGTATATATACAATATAATTGACCTGGAATAATTAAAACAAGGCTGTCATCAAAATCTGTTTGAATAAAGTGGATTAAATTTCACATTTGATCAAATTCCTTTAATTCTGTCTATTGAATAGATCGAAACAGAAACCAATTTGCAGGAAAGTGTTTTAATCCGAGAGCTGCGCATCGTGATATCGCTTGATCTTGAGAATTCGACCATCACCACATATATGAAAACTCAAGAAATGAAGTAACCAAAATTCCATAAAATCATCCTTTTATTCGGTTCTGATTATTTCTACTAAAAATCAACAATTTTTTGGTCTGCGATAAATTAAGGGCCAGACAAAGTGGGGAGCATAATTATTGACGAAAATAAAAACATATCAATGCAATCTGCATCGACTCATGTCATGGTTTGTATGGACTAAAATGAACAAAGACAAGTATAGAATATTTGTCCTCTAGCGTTCTTACAAGCTCGGAAACGCTACGCACAATATTTGAAGCTGTTTAATGCAGCTTTACATAATAACAGCTATGCCAGTTAATTTGTTTGTTGACGAATATAGTCAGAGCCCATTTAGAGAACGTACTAATAAAAACGGAAATAGGATAAAGCTGTTTCGCGTGATTCACAAATACAAACCTCCAACTGTCAGATTTACACTGGAGATTTGTATGTGTGTGTTGTGAATGATCATATTCTCTCAAAATATGCAGGTAGGGAAGAGTGGTCGCTAAATAGGATATGTAAGCCGACGGTTCGTAAGCCGATTAAGCCATTCCTGTGCTTAAGGAACCCTTAAAACAAAGGAAATAGCTGAGTTATTTGGAACCGTTTCTCACGGAAATGAAAATCCAACCAGGATTTGAGTTACCGATTGGCATATTGGGCACAAAACACTAACAAAACAAGAAATCAAGTTTAACTCAACACATCGCGAATAATTTTATCATTATATGTTACGAGTTCTGACTTTTTGGAACGTATAGTAACGAATTCCAAAGTTAGGTGTTCACAGTTATCATCGAGGACCAGATAAGAGAAAGGTTTCGCCTGGAAGAAATCTCTATATTGTTTTGGTCGTAATCTGTGGTTTCATACTGATTGTGTTGCAACTATATCAAAGAGGTGGTTTTTAAACTGATTCGCATTGCGGTGAGAAGTACTGGAGTAGAGACATTTCGGATGGCACTCAGCGATATATTTTGTTGGTTAGGTATTTCAATATGAACAGATTTATTGGCCGTAAGTACGTGACTGTTGTCTGCTTCTTTTTCAAGTTTACTTTTGTATATCATGCATGCAATGATGCAATTTTTAGCAAGGCGGGAAGCCACTCATTGAAGGGCTTTCATACTGCATACAGAGAATGAGAAAATGTGGGTGGCTGTGATGGTTGGATTCGCAAGAACATCCTTCGAGATAAGACGCCTATGATCTTCAGGTCACATAAAACTAAACAAATAAATACACTTTTGATTGGCAATCAGCAACCTGAACTTATCTCATCCCCTATTAAATTGAAATGTTATCCGGACTACTGAAACGTGTTCAAATGTAATATATTTCACAAATCCTAAATTTGATTCACCTCTGGTAGTCACAAAATGTAAAAAGCTTATGTTTGATTTCACGTGATAAAAGACAAAAAAGGCGCTTCAGCATCAGTAAAAAAATAGTTCATTCGACTATTGTTCTTGAAATTTCACTGAAAACAAACGATCATAGTATGAGTTAATCGAATTTAAGTTCTACTGCAGCACTGATAAAAATGATGTTGCAATTGTCATTCAAAGTGAAAATGTGTTGCACCTTTCTTTCGTCATTTATTGAATAACATCCTTAGAAGCCAAGGGCTGGCAATTTTGCCCTTTGAATCAACACAACAAAAACATTCAGTTGTGTATCAATCCGGTTCATCAAACAATTATTCAATGGGAGGCATTTGTTGACCGGAAAACATCTGTTTAGTACACGTTTTTGAAAATTGATTACCGCTGCCTGGCACTGGTGCCCCAAATAGCCCTTCATCATCTTCACATTAGCACTATCCTCCCCCTATCTGAACTCGATCAGACGAATCCTAATCAAACACTTGTTATCGGTTAACTGATAGTAACATTATCACATGGTATATGTTATGAAACATCGCAGAGTTCAATCTGCTTATTTTCAACCAGGCGGACGGAATTTATGCATCATTTCCCTCAGACGGCACTGTTCTGTTTATTCGGCTTGCTTGTTTGTTTTTCCCGGGCCGCACCTCACTTGTGAGGAGATATTTTCATCCACATGAATAATTTTCATTCGCGAGTGTATCGGTCATATATGTTTTAAGCAATTCATGCAAGCCACATTATTGGTTCTGTCTTCACGAAGATTCTGTATGTATGTACTTCAAACCGGAATGAGCAAAGTACACATAGGGGTCAGTGAAGGCTAAATACATAGACAGGCGTATTGTTCTCAGCAAAAACTGAACCTGTAGAAAAAGACTGGTTGAAAGTTACTTGACGTAGTCTGTGTTAACCATTCGTATTCTTATTGTCATAATTATTTACATCGGCTTTGCTCGCCCAGTACTTTGCGGACTACTTTCTCTATGACTTAACTGGGCTCGTTGTGTACACCGTCTTTGGTTGATCGTGATCCGAATGGTGGGGATTGTTCCTCTGTTCTCAAACGGATCAAGCCTCTAAAAACGAGACAAAAGAGTGTGTGGACAATTGTGAGTCATAGTTGTCTGTTTCCGTTCTTTTACCACAGCCATAACTTTATAGCAACATCCAGGGTCCTCATGTGGACCATTTCTGATTATCAAAAGAGGGTTTGCTTAATTCTGATATTAGGTTTTATGTGTGTAAGATGCTTTTCTTCTTTTGCATTTCATTTTATTCAAAGCAAGTTTGCGTGTTCTTTTCTCAGTGTAAAAATTTACACTGAATGAGACAAAATTCTCCTGAACTCACATAAGCATAGACATCAATCAGGAATACTAGACGTATCTGAACGAGACTGGTATCAATCATCTACCTTGCGTGTTCGCACTCCGAATTATTTATTTAAATCATGAAGAATTACCAGTGTTAATCACAGTAGAACTATGTATGTTAAGAGTTTGCTAATAGCCGGAAGATCATCATCGGAATGTGGTCAGGCAGCCTAAAATTAAAAATAAACCACTGAAACGGTTTGCGTCAAGAAGGCTTTTTGATGATCACTACCTTGAACTGTTTGAACATCTTTCGACTTTGAACAATAAATACCCGTGCTTTCCTTGTGATGTCCTGCGTCCGATCGCTCCAGGTTTTTATGTTACCTACCGGCCTTGTAGCATTGTCTTCGGGGAAATAAACCCGTTAACCTACATACGTTGATCTATCGCATGAGGGCTGATCAGTAGCTAATTAAACACTTCTTCTGTTTCTCCCAATATGAATACGTGAAACAGACTTTGATGCAGCGTTTAGATTATACCGTAACGATATGAATTAGCAGCTGCACAAACCAGCAATTGTTTTGCAATACTGACAAACAGGATGAAAACGAACTGTATTAGGATATTCTCCGATGTGTTCTGCACACAGCTCACTGTGTCGCCGTGAATGATCTAGCTTTTGACCAATGCAAAAGACATGCACAACCTCCGAGTCAGCTTATATAGGGGCAATATAATTGATGCTACTTTTGGAAAATTAAAATCTTTGGACTTAAAAAATGCATCAACTGTTATGAGCGCTAAATGTTTGATCCTTTCGGAAGCGTCTAACTCTTAGTGTCAAAAAACAGAATAACTAAAATCTGTTACCTTATGATAACCAAGGCAAAGAAATTCATCAGACACCTTTCATATGAGAATGTGCAGACACTTTTAATGCGTCCATCCTGACTGTGCTCATGACATAAATTTTCCGTACTTTTGTTCATTGATTTGCTACACAGATGCCGATCATAACCATGGCTCTGGTCGCAGTTTGCTTGGTTGTACCAGGAAGGAACCACATCGTAGAAACCAGCATGCTGCATTCAGACAATCCGCGTTTAAATGTAGCATAAATTGCGGCTGCTGTCTGTACAGGACGGTATGTTTGTATCGTCGTGGCTGTTATCCAAAGCGTACAATCTCAGAAAAGACCGATAGCCCGTTTCTTGGTAGTCAAACGTTCCAGCCAGATGAAGAAAACGAAATGCCTTCGTTGCGTAATCAACCAAACCCGATATCGGACAATGTTTGTTTGCCATCATCCGCTGGGCCATATAATTCCAATGGTGTGAATAAAACTGACTTTGATGCAAGTCAACTGTTCCTTATTGGGTTAATTGCAACGTTTGATTCTTTGACCATCACGGCCGAATACTTCATTCCCGCCGTGGTCATGTTCGATCATGTTCGAAGTAGCATCAGCTATAGAACAGAACTCAATCTCGGCTGTAGACTAACTTTCATGTTGATCACATTCTCACATTTAGTCACCCAGTGGATACTCGTTGTGTACGGCGCAGAACGTATTTTGGCCGTTGGACGGCTGTGGAGGTCTAATCGGAATAGCCACCGAAACGATCTGGAAAGTCAACAATGTCCCCCCTATTCCAATGCTGTGTTGAACACGCTCAAATTGAAAATCGGAATGAGTTTATTCATCGCTTTGTCATTCTCCGGCATATGCAACTACATATGGATGATTGGAAATGTTACTCCGATTGAATATCAGTTACCCAATGGCTCTGTCGTTATGCAACTGGAATTATCGTGCAGTCTACGTCAAGAATACTATGTATTTTACGTGAAATTTCTCGTCTATGTGGAATTCATTCTCCTTGTGATCATACCTAATTTCCTTCTCATTATTTGTACGTTTGTCATTCTGTTTTATTCCATCAAGGGCTTGATTTACGTTTTTGTGCGACGAAGAAACACCAATTGTGCATCACATTCGAACTCAGAGAATCCAGTTAACACATTACCGAATCATCAGACTACACAAGTGACATCAGTGGCGACATCCGTGATGATTAAACATTTTTCTGTTACCGATCGCAGCTGGATTAACATATCCACAGCAATGTTCATTGCCAACTCAGTTATCCGAATTAGCCTGAGCGCGGGTAAAGATCTGGACACATTCTCGGCAGTTTTCCTCGGATTAAATCACAACACACCACACAACTATATATACACAATGTCCCTTTGGCCAACAATTTCGACAGTGAATTTGGCGCTGCTCTGTATCTCTTTGTGCATCCCGAAGAGGAGGAGGCGAACCATCAACTAAATATGACAGATTCTTAATCCTTTTATATACTGATCGCTAATTTGAATACACACTTACGTCTACCAACATTATTTCAAATTTGATGATTTATACTGTTTTGAACACTGCATATGGTTTCATATCTTCGGCGCATTTACTTTAGCTACAATAGAATGTTTTGTGATGAACGCCAGAGAGCACTGGACATGCGCTACGTTTTTCTTATAACTGGTCAACAGTGCGCATCACTGGGTTTCATCCTCAACACTGGAACCATGGGCATTGGACTCGGCAGTAGATGATTTGACCGTCGATCATGCAGCTCCCTGTTGAGCGTTTGAAATCCAAATTAGGAAGCCTAGTGCTGATTCATCTTCGACCTCAAAAGATAGGTTCACCGGCACTCAAAGCACAATTAGAATGAACACAATTAGCTACATTGCTGTAATATAGGAAAAAAGAAATTTTAAACCATTTCATCAAACCGTGCAACTGAATAAGCGCAGAATGGGGGTATCTTTTGAATGCATATGAGGTGATAAGCTGAGTAAACCATGGTGGGGCTAGTGAAACCAATGAAGCTACACGCACCGTATCGTAGACAAGAAGAGAGGTCAAGTGGGAGAAACTCCAACACAGCTCGACAGACGTTTCAAATCTAAGCTGTGGCCAACGTGTGAACCTATGATCCATCTTAGTTTTGAGTGTTGTTCTTGATGTTGCTCTTCACATAGCCTAGCATATAGCTTTGTGGGGCTTCGTCAACCGCTCTCGCCAAGAGCATGTCAGCGGTTGATTGATTTTTACCGCTAAACTGATACAACGTATCCAACTATTGTCTCATTACAAACGTCCTACGTGTTCCTCTCAAACTAAACATTCATAAAATGATGATGGCATTGATTAGGCCAAACTTTTGCGAGAATGTGAATACGGATGGATTATTTGTAACAGATAATGGTAATTTACCAAACATTTCATATTATTTCGTTGATGTTGTCGAATATATAATACTGATTCGGACAGAGCGTCATCTAGGCTTCTCTCTGGCGTTTAATCTTCATCTCACGCAGTCAACCATACACTAGATAGACGCCACGCTTGTTCTGGTTAGATCACATTGTTTATTGTATATCCACCGTCACTCCCAGGATTTGAACAGCAAACCAATGTATATCAACCAAATCACACCATCTCACGCCGAATCACGTTTGCTCGTGTATCACCTACAATGAAAAAGGTAAATGTAACATAATGCAGTAAAATCCGGATATGAACTAAATTTGAGCATATGCCAGAGACATTTTCGTACCAAACGTAACATACTTAATAAACCCTCGAAATAAAACGGGATTTTGGCTTGCGTGTATTGTTTGTTTACATCCCAGCCCATTGTGCGTTTACGAGTAAAGGACAAAGTGCCTGATTCTCACCGTAGGTGTGATCATTTACATGGTCCTATGGAAGAGCGTATTCACGCCTCACAGTCAGGTGTTTGTCTGGACGAATCCGTGAATACTACCCGGCACGGCTAAATACAGAAACAATTAGGTTACTTACAAATACACTGGTTTCACACCCAGTCTAAACATATCACACTGTGAATGCCACCGTATCGGGTTCGTGGTCAACTATCGAGGCAGGTCCGATGGCAGCCGTAGGAGTTTGTCTGCACAACCCCCTTCTTTGACAAAAAACAATGTGTGCAGGTGCCTAAGCACCCCTGGCCCACCTCATATCCCGAGTAGTCGCAATAATCGAATTGCCTAATAATTATGTCATCATTGAGCGTCCCATATCAGGTCTGAAGACGAAATCAGTCCCAAACATTCAATGAGGCTAATTTCTCTTCCCAAAACAACTGTTCAGTTTTTATAGTTGAATACAGATACACACACTTTAAGCAATCCAAAGATTCCATCGTAAGTAGGCTACGTGCACTGCGAAACTATATTTGATAGAAGCTCAAATTCAGTTCATTGATGAGTTTACTATTGAATCGAAACAGTATAGGATATTGTAGGGGAGAAATCCAGATATATTTATTTAAATGACACTACTTTCTGATAGCAGTTCCATCGGTCTTTATGATTAATCCAAATGCAAAATGCTAAAATTGGCGTTGTTACCTGTGAAGCACTTTGTGGCAAGATGAAATCAGAATACGAGATCAATAAAATCCCTGAATACTGAGGAAACGTAAGCGATGGCTGAAGGAATATTCTGTCAAATCAAAGCTGTAACGAACTTTTGAGGTATTTATTATTCAAACAAAATAGAGAAAGAAACAACTTAGAATAATGATGCAGCAGCACGGAAGTTAGATGTGCTCATATTTCACCAGTGTCATGAGTCAAAAACAAATGGTTTGACAGTAGTGATGGCTGCTCATCTTTAGCGTGGCACCTTTTGTTTCAGCGTCAGAGGTTTGGTATACAGTACGAAATATATTCCCGCTGAACTCGCACGCAAATGGTTACGATCAGGGTGCACCATAAAACCAGGTTATGCGTCAGAAAGATTGGACAGATGTTTTAAAATAATTGATCATATCTTTTAAAATAAAATTTGAGTAACTGTGGAAAACAATAGCTTGTGTTAAAAATCGCTTTTCATGTTTACATATCCCCCTTCTCATCCACGGAACACATCCTAACATACATATCGATACAGAGAAATAAAAGCATTCAGTTTGAGGGTGACAAAAATGGTTATTGTACCGCAATAATCAATTTTGAACCAGGTAGTTTATTAAATTACTCTCCTCTTCATGCTTGGCACCTGCTATGTAACTTCTACCTGATGTCTGCCCATCCTGATAAGGGAGCATAAATTATTCAACTGCTTCGAGAACAAAAAGCTGTCGTTTGTCCATTTTCTTATGTTTCAATGTAAACATAAGGTACTCTATCTCTTTGGAAACAAATGAGTTCACG